CCTAATCCTGTTCCCATTACATTGTGGGCCTATATCCTTATTTGATGCTTTAAAGCAGTGGTTCTCAAACTGTGTAACCTCAGGACCCACATTTGTCCTTGGTCATTAAATCACGACCAAAATCACACCAGACTGGAACCCAACGCAAGGCGGTACTGCACGTTCTGGTGCTGGCGATCGAACTGTGGGCAGGAGGTGTGTTTGGGGTGAAATTCAAATGAATGGCAACGCAACGCACCTCCGGCACCAGAACATGTGGTAGGTGCAATTAAGTGGTACAGTGGGCTGCTGGGCTGTGACGGAGCTCCATCCATATTTGCATTGCTTGTACAGTTCCCTTGTGTGCCCTGTTAAGGTGTCGGGAGCCAGAATGTGACGTCACTTCTGTCCAGGCACCTCTACAGGGCACGCGAGGGAGCTGTAAGCAATGCATGTATGGATGGAGCTCCCTGACGGCCATAGCCCTATCCTATCCCACCTCAAGCTGACACTTGGACCTGGGCAGCATATTTTAAATGGTTGCTCAGTGCGAGAACTGACAGTGCTGTGCTAGGGGGAGGCTGAGGAGCCTCTCCCCTAACGCAATGAAAAGCACACTGCGACCCACTGAACACAGGGTTGCAACCCACTTTTGGATCGCAACCCACCAGTTGAGAACCAAGGCTTTAACGTACAGTATAATTAAACTCTCTATGAAATGAATAAAATGTGTTAAGGTGAGAGGTCACTGTGATATTTGTATTTCTTGTAACCTCTCCGTAAACATTTGATATTTGATATTTGATTTCTTTGTATTTGTAGGTCTCAGACATATTGTGCATCAGATCAGGAGCATGCAGCATGGGGTGTCAATTATCTGCTGTATATAGTGAGTATCACCCTGTGAAAGTAAGTGCATCTGCACGCTCTTACTGGCAGGACCACTAGTGCCACTAGTTAACCTCAGAGCAAAGGCGTCAAGGGACTCCTACAGCTAGATTATATGTCTAGCCAATGTACCTACATTTACAGGTGGCACCTAAATACTTTCTACTGGAATTATTAGAAGAACATGTTTCATGGTTCTTAAAAATGCAGACATTCTATTTTATTCTATATTCATTATTGATATAGATGATTGTGGTGGTATAAGATATATAAATCCAAAGTATGTATAGAGGCACTCACCAGTCTCGCAGCGGATATACTGTATGTCAAAGCATGAACAATTTATTGTCAACGTTTTGATGGTGCTCAATCTGTTTTTATCATAAAGACAGACCGTGCTCCCTCAAAACACTGAGCTCTATTGAAATGTTGACAGTATAATACTAATGTACAGGCAATCCCCGCGTTACAAACAAGATAGGTTCTGTAGGTTTGTTCTTAAGTTGATGTAAGTTGGCACAGGTATATTTTTTAAGTGTAACTCCAGCCAAAAAATGTTTTTTGTTTTGGATAGCATAGGGAAGGGTTAACCCCCTGTAACTTTTGTTTTGCTGTGTATGTCCCTGTTCAGAACATTTCACCCCACTTTCTGTCCCTGCGACAAATGGATTTTGAAAATTTTGGGTTGTCGTGGAAACAAGGATTGGTGATAAAGCTTCAGTAGAGACATCTTTTTTCACATGATAACTCTTACAGGAGTGACTTTCCTTTCCTAAGGGTAGATTTCCTCTCACTTCTTCCTGTCTCAAGGACAGGAAGCGAGATTAAATCTTTCTAATGAGGATACAGACAGCAGTAAAAACCTCACAGTGACCCGGAAGAAGAGGTAGACACCCCTTGTCTGCACGTCTAACAAGAGCCAACTTCCTGTAATGTACATACAGTACTACTAACCAGACCCAAAAAGGCGGGCACTCCTCGTGGACACGAGCGTGGTAGCATTACAACTACTGAAATACTGCACGGTACACTTTGGCTGCAGCCTGGGGCCCACCGCTGTACAGTAATAGCCTCTGTTTGTAAGTAGGGGTAGTATGTAAGTCGGATGTTTGTAACTCGGGGACTGCCTGTATTGACTTTTCTCTGTGCCTCTGTACCTACTTTGGATAGGTATTAATATTTTTGTGGATAAGCACCCAGGCATTTACTTTACAAATAGAGTGTGGTAGCTACCCCTGGGACTATAGAGATATAGATACTGAATATGTATATTTATTTATCTTTAGCCATTTTTTGTAACAACATAATCACTAATTCAGAAATATTTCAATTAGGCAAGGTTATTAAGCAAAATAAAGGTAAAAGAGGAAAAAAATAAAAATAATAAACCATTTAAAGAAAAATGTATTCAGCTAGACTTGGAAGTACCACACGTTGTTTATATATTTAATAAGACCCCGAGTATTATGATAGTATATTTCATTATGGAAAAGTTTATGTTCTTGGAGGAGAACTGGGCCAATAGCTCCAGGCCTGTGTGCACAGCTTAAACTAAAAAACTCACATTTTGGACAGAGCACTTCTGAGTAACAAGAATCAGATTATTCTATGAGAGGGTACACAGAGAATGAAAAAAAAAAATATGAAAGGAGAGCTATTATACTCAAAGTAAAAAAACAAAAATAAGACAAGACCCTAGTTTACCATTTAGCATTACAATATCAGCCCCACAACAAAGCAGAATTTACAGCATTCATTTCTCTCAGCTGAGCATATAGCTTGTAATGTACTCTATCGTTTCCATGTCCTGATCACTAATTGTACAAAGTTTTGTCCCCATGTGCAAGGATTTTTTAACAAGATGCCAGTGTTTGTAAAATGTATATATAAACAGAGATCAGAATAAGCATTTATTCTTTTAAAACCATTGTCAGAGACATCTAGAGATCTTCCCATTATGAGAGGATGCTGGCAAAGTTATATGTCAATAGAAATTAGATCTCGGTTATCTATCAATGTTTCTGGCACAGGAAACATGTTTTTCTATTAGTATAAGTATTCATTTTTAAAAAATATAAAGAAAAAATCATACGTTTTGTAATATCATGAGGGGTTCTAGCTACAAAAAGAAATATAGATAATGCTGCATTAAATGTTAGAAGGTAAAGATTACCAATGATACAAAAATCTTTGCACTTGCTTTAAGCATCAGGTTATTATGTTTTAAAAATGTACCTCTTGACCATTTTGTTGGATTTGTATAAAAGGCAAAAATACAGATGAAGTGCTTTACACTATGTAACAATTGTAGCTGTGCGTGTTCAATGGAGAAGTTAGATCGACTTAAAAATGCTCAGCAATATAAAACACAACCATGCAGAGAAAAATACTCCTCAACTGTAAATGTAAGTACTTGCTGCCTATATATTCTGCTAAATGTTACCTTAAACTGTACAGTAACCACCTACGCATAGCGTTATAGACAGCCACAAGTTACTTAACAACACAATGACCTAAAAGTGTTGCAAGTTAAACTGTTGTGCATTTGTCAAATACACTTGTTGGCAAAATACAAGACCTTTGATCTATTAAACAGTATAAACAGAGTTTTGTTCTATTAGATTTTTGAAAAATACAACATTCTAAAATGGAAGCAAGACAAACTGCACAAAAAATATATTCTTTTGTGCATTCCTGTTTTTTTTAAAAATAACAATAATAATAAAGGAGAAAGCAGAACAATACCGGAATAGCTTTCTATTTACAAAATATTTCAAACATTTTTCCATCTTCATCCATTTTATGAACTTGCCTGATTACATTTTACCAAACACTTGTAAACTCTTCCACATGTTGGAATAGTTGTGAACTTGTCAAAATGACACATGCAAGCAAACTTGGTATATCTAAACATATATGCCAAACATGAAGAATTTGCCAATAGGGATCAGTCAGGTTAAATCTTTTATTCTCTGAGGAAAGAAAGCAAGGGATGTGATTGGTCACTATGAACAAGTTTTTTTACTGCTATAGAGAACTTTCTTTTTTTTTGGAAAATGTTATGCACACAGTCAATTCCTATCTTATCGGAAAATATACAGTACAGCAATGTGGGTTTTGTGCAAGTGAAATTATTTTATATTCTTGTTGAAATGTGTTTCTTTTTAACCTATTTAACCTAAAACATATATATATGATTTATATTATATATATATATATATATTTTATGTTTGTTTATTTTTAGATTTAAATAGCTAAATTAAAATAAGTAGA